AATTGGGTTGAGAACATGTAACCTACATTAATGCTTGGAACAATAGGGCTTCATTCATGCCAACTCTTGACGCCATTCAAGACGACGACTTTAATTTTGAGACTTCGGCTTACCTTGCTATTTTTTGGATAATGGAAAGCGTTCCTCACAACAATAGTAGAGAGGCGACAATTTTTTGAGGTTTAAGAAAGATTTGGTAAAGCTGAATACTCTCTAACGAGTGGGTGGGAGTTCATCTCTACAAACTGAAGCGGAAATGACGATGTGGATAATAGCGCACCACAATCGTGCATCACGCAGTTGATGATTCTATTGGCCCGGCATACATACCAGAGTTTGTGCAACCTGAGGCACCCATCTATTCTCCTACGTTTTCGTCGACGTATGACTTTGAACACTGACAGTCAAATACCCCCAATGAATGAGGGGGATGGGTACAATACTCCTGAGCCACAACGGCCACAAACGTATCAGACGTCCGCCCCGACATTATCATTCACAACACCCCCGACATCGACAACAATTGTAAACTCGTTTGCTATTTATTACAATATTATTTATTGAAATTAGACTACTTTTTTAACCTTAACAATGATTTTTAGTATCAAATCATTACTAGTATCAAATAATTAAATATTAGTAAATCAACTATTTTAAATCATTAATAAATTCGACTATGTATAAATTTAAACTCAGTAATCCACACTTGTACACTCATTGTTAGTATTAAATCATTATTATAAATCATTATTATAAATAATTACTAAATAATATTATAAAATAATTATTATAATGATATTATCAAATCATTACTAAATCATCAAATCATTAAATCATTTTTATAATGATTATTACTAAATCATTATTAAATGATTATTATCAAATCATTACTATAATGATTATTATCAATCATACTAATCATCAAATCATTAAATATTTAAATCATTATTAAATATAATGATTAATAAATACATAGAAATACATTAGATTACTAATGATGAGGCCTATATCTTGGTAATTAGGACAATTGTTTTTTGAATGGCCTTCACCCCTCATAATCCGCATCTCTTTGCTTGACCTCTCTCTATAGCATGAAAATCCATACTGGTATGAATTCGAGTGGACCTCAGGTCGACCCTTTGGACTTCTGCGAACATTGGATTTGGTAGCCTTCATCATGATCCTTTTTGGGCCAATATGATTCATTCGGGATCTGTCTGAACACATAGCTGTAGACATTTAATATCCTACGTAGGTGGAAGCATTCATCAACATAAGTGTATGCGCTTACACCAGCATACATACATGCAGCGACTGCATGAGCACATGGATATTTCCATGCCTGAAAACGACCACAATCACACCATTTGTGTCGTAAATCAACTCTAATGTTTGGTCTTCTCCTCGACGTTACGACGTATGCACGACACGACAAAAGTATGACCAACTCGGTCGAAATTATGAACAACCATTGATGTTGCCATCGCTCATTTGCTTCCATTGATTCCACCACTGTAGAGCCCAAGTTTTACCTCTATTTATGAGACTCTCATTTCCTTGCCTTTGTCCGACCAAACTTTACCCAGTCTAAAGTACGTCTCTTTCACCACACTCGCTATTGGGAGATGGCGTGTACCTTTTAGTACCGAATTAATGGCCTCAACAAGGTTTGTGGTCATAGTCCGTATCTCCGACCTTCTCGTATGCTTGCGACCATTTTCCCGCGTATTTTTGAAGCCCACTTCCAACACGCTGATCATCGTAAAATACCTTCAAATTCTCCAATCTCTTGTCAAAATTTGGTCGACGTAGTTCGTATCCTGTTCCATAATATATTGTGTTAAACCGCAATTAAAAAAACCACGTAAAAAATACACAAATATTGAAAATAAACTTACCATGCTGACTATCTCGCTACGAATATGTGCGTTATGAAACTGGCGATACTATTCTTGCCAATATGACGGATACAAAATGCCGGATATGAAACGGAGTATCCAACGACTTCCTGGTCGTTCAATTGCCGCCAAATACCCGTTCCTCTCGGATATCAAGCAAACTCCATCTTCACGAACGACATATTGACGTAGATTGGTCAAAAGAAATGCCAAGCCTCGTTGTCTCTCCCTCAACAATGGCGAATGCAATTGGGAAGATATTTCGCTCACCATCTTGAGCAACTGCCATCAAAAGTACATGCCTATATTGACCATACAACCACGTACCATCTACTTGGATCATACGTTTTGCAAAATGGAAATCCTTCAATACATGCCTTGAATGCCCAAAATAGTCTATGAAATATTTTCTTCCCTGGCAGAAGTTGACCTTCTCGTCATATGCGGGCATGGTTTGAGACTTCACTATAGTTTCCTGGGATAATCGCTTCATTGCTTGTAGCAAATGTGGTAGCTCATTGTACGATGTATCCCAATCTTCATACGTCAACTTCATTGCCTTCATTTCGCATTCCACACCTTGCCATATTTTACTTGATATCCAAATTGGCTTCGAATAGATGCACTAACACGAACAAGTATCCTTGGATCCTTTCAACCATCGCCTTCACGTATTCACATATTCATCGGAGTCCATAGTCGTGGTCTTGTTCGATGGAGTTTCGCAAACATGTGTGCGAACCATTATACCTCGTGATGACCCAAACTCGTGCCTTTGATTTTCGACACTCTGATCTTCCACTTGCACTCTGGGCCAGATTTACACACTTTGCGTATAGGGTTTTCTGGTTGGACTCTGCAACATGGACATCAACATGACATTTGATGCAGTACTCTTTAATTGCCAGCGTAGCTTCATTTTTTCCTGAATTGCACCCCAATGAAATTCACCAGAATTATCGAATGATTCAGTCATTTGGTACGGAGGTAAATGTGGCATGTCTGGAATTCAGGTGCCCTCATTGCATCATAATCTATCTCGTACATGTGAGTAGCTTCATACGGTGTCGGAACTTCATCAATTGCACCTCCACCAAAAATATTTTCGTCGCCAGCCCAAACGGGTTCTTCAGTTTCTTCATCTTCGCTTGAATCATCATGAATTCTCCCCATCGATTTTCAGCGTCATTATCAACAACCAATTCCGGTATGTTTCTCGTCTCATACTCTGCTGCTGTAGATTCCCCCGACTTCATTTACATTTCCAATAGTGCCATAAAACTGTCGGGAACCTGTATGTCGGCTCCTCAAACTGACTATATAAAGCCATTTCAGATGGATTTTGAGCCACACCTCTTGATGACCCAGGAACATCACATATGTTACGCACATCAACAAATAATTCAATAACTGCTATATTGGTGACTCATGTAATCCACCATGGTTCCAATATCATCATCTTCTTCAAGTGGAACTGCAACATCTGACTGGGTTAGAGCATATCATAAACCTATACCTCAAACCATCAACTGCAGCTCGAATTTTTCTTTCTATCTTATGCTTCATTTCTATAAATGTGATGTCTTTTTTGAACATCATATTTATTGGTTTTTCAGACTGAAAAACTACTCCGACCTCATTTTCCATATCTGTCCATTATATGGACAATCGTGAAAAGTTGCTGCTCATTTTCTCTACAAATAAAAAAATAATTTAGATTAAAAATTAGATAAGATAATTTCATAAATTATTAATATAATATAAATACTATTATATAATGATCAATAAAATTTATTATTTAACTTGATTGATGCTTACTAATAAACCTAATAATGATTTGATAATTACTATTAATCTAATGATTTGATATTTAATGATTTAATAATAATATGATTAGCATAATCACTAATAATATTTATTATAAATATTTAATGATTTTGATTTGATACTAATCATTTAGTATTATTACTAATAATAATTAGTTTGATAATATTTTTTATTTTTTAAAAATATCAACAAATTTGTTAGGCAAAACGTCGATATAATGTCTCGAAATAATTTTTGCGAGATAATGCTGTCCGGATTATTCATTCAATTAAATTTTACTTCTTACTAATATACACACAATGTAAATTAAACAAACTATTTTTAAAACAACACTAAATATTTAAACACAATATTTTTTAAAACGGAAATTATCTCGCACAAATTAGTTTATATAATCTAATATAAACTTACTAACTAACTAATTTACACATACACAACAACAAAAAATGGACACAAAAAATAATAAATTACTCACGTCTTTATGCCTTCTTCCTTACTTTTTTTTCTTGCCTTGTTTCTTTCTTCGAATCAATCTGTACGTGGGCAAATATTGTGAAATAATGTCATGTATGTGTAAACAAAATATTTATTTAAACAACAATAGCTCCCACAAATTAATTTTATATAATCTAATATTATATATACCTTAAACTAATAAACTATTTCTTATTATAATATAACTTAGTAAAATAACAAACTAATTAAGCATTAATTAATTTTTTATAATATAACTTCAACTCAACGAACAACCTAATATACGTTTAAAGACACTAACAAATTAATTAATATTTTTTATATTTAATAACTTAAACTAAGAAACTAATTAACTTTTTTATAATATAATATATACTTAACTAATAAACTAATATAATATACTTAAACTAACAAACTAATAATTTATACTAACAAACTAATTAACTAGATTTTAATTTTACCCTAAACCCGAAACTAACAAACTAATAATTTCATATAATAAACTAAATTAAACAATAAAAAATTACCTCACGAACTATGTTTGAGCCTTTATCTTCTTTTCTTCTTCTTCCTTTTCTTTCTCTCGGCAAAGTTTATATGTGCCAGTTCTGCTTGTGCTTCTACCCTAAACCCCATATCCTTTATAAAAGCAACTGAGCGTTGGACAGAGTTATAAATTTGATTGTTGAAGCAAATAAATATTAGCATTGTCGTCTAACTATTGAGCATTGAAAGGCTGACGGCTAAATTAACGCTGCAATAACGCAACTATAGATGCAACACATACAACTACGGGTGCAGGAATCTCAGCTATGATGCAACGCATGCATGCAGCAGCTACGGACCAGACCTTGGTCGCCGAGACTCCATGGCGACCTACCGACCACGCCGCCGTGACCTACACCGTTCGACGTGCATGGCCATGCACAGTTCCCACGTCCCATGCACAGCATGCATCTGCATGGCCATGCACAGCATGCATCCCCTCCCCCATGCATTCCCACAGCCCATGATTTTTGCAAAATACGCACAGGGCGCCATGCAATCCACCTTGGAGGTCGCCCGGATTGCATGGCGACCTCCAAGGTCGCCTGGATTGCATGGCGACCTCTAAGGTCGCCTGGATTGCATGGCGTCCTATGGCGATCACTGTAGAATTCACCCCATTCTAGCAATTAATCTGGGATGTGCACCATATCGTGAAAAAAAAAATTCGAGAACATTATCTCGTGAATTCACCCGGATTTTCACTGTTACTTTTGTAAAATATTGGGGATCCCTATAGTTATTTTTCCGGGATCCCCATGGTTATTCACACGAGTATAGTTCGGTTATCCTCATAGTTCAGATATAGCAATCTTTGTCCCTATCCCTAGTTGAGCTTCAGGAATAAATTTCTCCATCCATCCCCGTGGGTAAAGATTTCAGTTATTCCTCATCCGTCAATTCAGATCCCCATAGTTTTCGGTTTTTCCCCACCTGATTGCCACCCTACCCTTTAATCATCTCCCACACCATCGAGGTATTATCTAATACTTCTACCCGAAATAAAAGCGCTTTAACTAGTCGAAATTACCTCAGGAAGGAAGTATTTCAACATCGCAACCATAATACGAGTAATGTACTTATAAATTACATTCTAGCAAGAAATAGGCCTAAAATCCCATGTATGACTCGGATTCAAACTCTAGAACAAGCACTAACTCTGATCATTCGAAATGGTACAAATCATCTGCCTATTCTACTTAACGACCATCATAGAGTGGGATAAATGGAATTCTGGTCCCCATCCCGAACCCATTTAAACTAGCTTTCTGCTTAAGGAAGCTCTTCTCCTCACTAGACAAACGTTGGAACTCAGCCATGTCCTCCCTTCACAAGCTTGCAAACCCCTATCAAGAGGAGAAGCAAGAATCTTCTCACGCTCAGCTTTTCATTTGCTTGACTAGCAGGGAAATCTGGACCATATTTACACAAATTCAAACTCCGCAATACTAGCTTAAGTCTCTTGAACTTAAAAAAAGAGCAATTCAAGGATCATTATCCTGCAAGGTTTATTCCAACTTGCCCTATAATCTTAAGGAAACCAGAATCCTTAGTCCAAAATTTAAAGAAGCGAAAAGACTTGGTATTTACTTCCGCATCTCACCAATTCTCACCAACCTAGGGTAATGATTAAACACACTCGAGGCAAGGAACCTGAGCATTTGCAAAAGTCGACATCCAGAAGTGAAGGACCATCACTCTATCCTGCTTCCAAGTCAAAAAGGCATCATCATGCCGATTAGACTGGGTAAAGATAGGCCCCCTAAAAGTATGGCCAACAATCCCAAAGAACTAGTACAAGCGATAAACTCCTCAATATCATGAGCAAGTAAACCCCACAATCCCTTGACAGCTTCACGACCCTACTGAACCTCACTGGGAAAGGAAACCAAACCAGTTGCTCAACAATTGTTTACCCTTACCACTAACCACAAGATTTACCACAGATATACCATGAAACCACAATAGCAGCCTAAATCACCAACATTACCCAATGACTGAACACTAGTAGTCTAGTACCTCAACATAATCTATTCTGCAACTGAATCTAACTCCTGCACAATCTGATCCCCCACCGCAACATCAGCAACCAAAACATCATCAACAGGAGCTGATATTGCTCCAGTGCTGCGTGAACCTCATCAATATGAGCAGTATTTCCGCAACTTGCTCATGAGCAGCAATTACAGACTCGTCTTCAGTCCACTCTGTAGATGCACTACAGTATCTTGATTGTTAATTATTACTATTAATTACCTGATGCTAATTGATGTCAAATAATCTTTAAGAATTATGATGTAAGAATACGTGTAGATCATAAATGAATGCTGATAATCATGTACCTTAATTAATTATACACGATTAACTTATTTTCTATGTTTATATTATCTTATATGCCTATATTTATAAATTTATGAAATATAATCAGTAGTGGATTAGATGGATGACCGGGTGAGGATGTTGAGTGATGATTTCGACTCGAGTTTGGATTGATCATGGACTTGGCCCTTGTTGTAAATGGTATGGACGAAAAATCGATGCCAACATTTAAGTTTATTTATTTTATTGTTTGATAGCCACTAACCAAACCCAACTGACAAAATTACACTAACAAAAAAAAAAGATTAATATAGAAAATATATCATAATCAAGGAAATGAAGCAGCTGTTTTTATTCTTAGAACTACATTTAGATACTCAAAATTAGAATGTTTGTAGTAAGAATTAATAGTTGTTCATTGCACATCATAAACAAACTGCCAGAATTTGTTCCTGGATAATTGAAATCTTTAATCTAAACCCAATGAAGCAAATAGAAAGATCTTGTTATTTCACCACAACGGAGAATCCAGAATTCTGCTTCTTTTATCTTTACTATATATTGAAGCGAATTTATTTTTCCTCTTCACCCTTGTAATTCCCTTGTAATTATTTTCCCAGGAAGAAGCAAGGGTGTTTTCATTGAGTTAAATTGATTCAGAAAATGGCATGTGACGAACCGACCATCAAGATCATCGGGGAACAATTCTGTCTCCCTTACATATTGCATCTCAACGTGAAGAGAAAAGTCGATCATTTCCCATGCACACTACGAAATGTTAGACAGCAACGGAAATGTTATCCTTAGAATCGATGGTGGTGCCGGCGTCTGGAACTCGGCGAAGAAATGGTGATGAAGATCATGCTGGTTTGCCCATCATCACTCTCCGCAGAAAGGTAATATAAATATGCACACTTTTCCCTCTGATATGCTGAGTTTTGAGAAAGAAAAACAATACGAGTTCTGGAAATCTGCAGGCGATGTCGTGGAAAAAGAAGTGGCAAATCCATGAAGGCGAAAGCTCGGAGCAATCCATGCCTGTGCAGCGTGCAACGATCCGATGCACTTCAGATCAAGAACGACCTCGATGTGTACTTAGCAAGCAACTACAAGGAGGATGGCCCAGATTTTTATGTGACTGGGAGTATCACTTCGCTTTCTTTCAAGGTTTGGAAAGGGAATTTAATCATTGCAGATGTAAGCATAATTACACATGGGGGAAGCTGCCAGGGAAAAGAAAGTTTCAGGGTCAAAGTGTATCCGGAGGTGGACTACGCCTTATTCTTGCTTTGGTAGTCATTATGCACGAGTCTGAGAATGTATAACATTCATCTCTACTTTTATCATTTCTCTTTTGATGTAAATCTGTAATATACACACACAGACTTACCTCGTAAAGGGAAACCAACCCTGAGTAGAAATGTAATACTGTGCAATAAACTTTCTTTTTAATCACTATTACTAAAAGTCAAAGTGATAAAATAATATGGCCGACGCCTCTGAAAACCCTACTGGCCCCCTCAATCCCAAAAAGCCCGCCTCCTTGATGAAGATCCCCCTGACAATCTGCCGACGTCAGCACGCCCTGCCCCCACCATTAGCCACCCCCATGCTCCTGCCTCTACCATGGATTTGGATCATCGATCCTCCAATGCCCCTCCTGTGATCTCCCATAAAGAAAAACTAAAGGGTGACCAACAACATGTTCCTCTGGCTGATGAAGAGATTATCGATGAAGAAGACATCGATCCTTGATGGTGATGTTACGCACTATCACGGATGGCCTTATCTCGATCGAATTCTCCGAACGAGTCCAAGCATTAGCGGAAAAAAGCCTCGCCCAGACCTTGTTGTCAAACTCCTTGGGCGAAGAATCGGGTATACAACCCTCTGTAAAAAGATGTATGAATTGTGGAAACCCTCGCAACCTTTCAAATTGATGGATTGAAAAGACTACTATTTGGTCACTTTTCGAACGCACACGGATTATCTGAAAGTTCTCGCTGGTGGCCCATGGACAATCTATGGCCATTATCTTACTACTAAGCCGTGATCACTGGATTTCGCTACATCCCAACCATATCCAAGCAAAGTCATTGCTTGGATCCGTTTTCCTAGTTTGCTGGTCACCCTTTACAAGCGCAGTATCATAACGGAAATCGGTGAATGCATTGATCCAGTTATAAAGATTGATTATCAAACTTAATGTGGTCGAAGAGGACACTTCACGAGAATGGCCGTAAGAGTCAACTTAACAAGCCTTTAATCTCTAAGATATCCATCAATGGCCGCATTCAAATCGTTGAGTACGAATCATTACCTACAATTTGTTTCAACTGCGGAACCTATGGCCATGTTAAGGATACATGCCCGAAGATAGTTGCTGCCAATGACACCACAGCTTCCCCAGCTCCACAGTTGCACCAAATTTGCCAGATACTAGTGATCCATTCGACCCTTGGATGCTAGTGACCGAAGACAAAGACAAGCCAACGACCACGCCCAAGCCTACCTCAACCAAAGACAAGCCCACTGTTTGAGTCACAATCTAACCCTCTATATGAACCCTCTGGCAACTTCAAGACGCTGCCAATAGCAATGACCCCATCCCCTGAAACAACACTGCTTTCACCTGACCCTATTGTTACCACTACTCCATCACCTAATACCGAAGTAACTGGAAAGGATAACATCTTGGCTCGGACAAAACCTACTAAATTGAAAGGTGTTACGCCTTCATGCAAACTCCTAGCCCCCACCCGTCAGAACCTCTCGGTCAAATCAGTTGCGAAACAACACTCTAGTTCCCTTTCTCTAAACATTAGCCGTGGAATCAGTAAGCCAAGACTCTCCCCGGGGCTACATAGATCGAAGCATACAGTGGTTGCTATCCCTAATATCACTAACGCCAAGCCTCCTAACTCTTCTTTGCCTCCAGCTAATTCTATCGCATGCGCCCATGCAAACGTCACACCGCCTTTGATTCCACCTACAACACAGAAACTGTCTAATACTATAGATACTATTCAGTTCCCACACCAGGATCGTCCTCACTGAACTAAGTTCCGGTTTGGCCTTCCTCCTATCATTTTCTTTTTATGGATATTAATCTTTTCTTTTGGAATGTGCAAGGCTGCGGAAATCAGAA